TTTATCCAATCCCAGATTTTGTTTATGAATGCTTGATCAAAGATTTAATGCCAGTTCCAACTCAATCCAACCCAGCCCCATCCAACCCAATGCAACCCAGCCCCATCCAACTCAGCCCCATCCAACCCAGCCCAATCCAACCCAGCCCAACCCAACCGAACCCAGCCCATACCAACCCAACCTAACCCAACCCAACCCAGCCCAAGTTACACAGCTTTATCCAATCCCAATCCTACCCATTCACCAATCAAATCAAACCAAAGTGAATAAAGCCCAATGCAAGCTCATTCCAAACTGAGTCATTTCCTGTGCAATAGTAAAAATTTTTTGGAAGCTTGATTTCATAGTTGTCACTCATATGCGTAAACATCTGGCCTGAATTTAGTTTCATAATGCCTTCATTCATGATCCTTTATGCTGGAAAATGATGAAATGGAGGCTTAAACACATATACGTTGATGATTTCTCAAACCATTTTTTGTTATCTCTGAAGCCAAGATGTATGTACCATGCATACAACATGTACATGTACACATTGCATGCATTAAACAGCTCAATGTTTACCATTGCAGTGCAACATATAAACTTTCTACCACGTATCAATGGAGTGCATGAATCCACACTGTAATGCACATGGTAGTGATGATATGCATTTATTTTCTGGTTTGTTTCAAATTGTTTAGGACACCACAACCTCAGCAACAAGTGAACAACGAAATTGCACCTGCAACAGAGACCAGTAATATAAATGAAAACTCATCACTGGTTACTGTCAACAAAGTTTTAACAATCCCTGTTCCAGTTGCCCAAGTGGGTCATATTCCCCGCCTGATCGTGACCTCCCAGCCATTGCAAATTCTCAAGGCTGGGAGTTCAACCATTCAACCCCCATCCAGGAGCAAGCAGAAGACAGAACGCTTCCTCTTGCCAAAGCCCACCATCCTCAGTGTAAACAGGGCCGCTGTCTTACACCCCCAGACTACACAGATTGTCACAATCAACAAAGGGGTTGTCCAGAGCTTTCCAGTGAGCGTTGCACCAAGTCAGCCAACCAAACCTTACAAGCGAACACTGGCTACCCAGACCCCAAAGTGGCCAGGAAGTCCAAGAAATAAAATGGCTAACCATCAGCATAAAGAAGTTTGCCGTTCTTCATCATTGGTAGGGGGAGATGGTGGGTCCAACAGTCAACGACTGTGCAGAGATTTAGGGATGGATAGCCATCCAAACAGCAGCATCAACTGCCACACGCAGACCGTTGTCCAGCAGAATTCAGCCCACACACAAACACAGGGTGATTTGATCATGCAGGAAGCTTTTCTGTCAGCACACATTGAAATTCCTACACTAGGGCAGCAGGCACAGATACCAGTATGCGAACCACAGCAGCAGGCCCTTCAACAACAACCCTTGCAGCAGAGCATTATAGCACTGAACAGGCACACTCAAACAAGCCAGAGTTTCCAACAGGCTTCTGTTGACCGTCTACCAAACAGTGTGAGCATTGCCAACTCCCTACCAGTCCAGCAGCCTCACTACACAGTGCAGGCGGGAACCGGATTCAGTACCAACTCCACATCCAGCTGTGATGTTCAAACGGACCGATGGCTTTCATCCCTAGCACAAGTCAGTGACCAGGGCACCCTTACCGACATTGCCGGAGTCCCTACTCAAACCGATTTTAACGTCCTCGACTTCTTGAATCTCAGTAATTCAGAGACACAAACAGTCATAAGTCAGTCAGCTTTTGAGGAATCTACGGCTACAGAGCACATTTCTACTCAGACAGTCCGCCATGCAGCAGACATCACACAAACAGAAACCAGTATTCAGACCACCACATCAGACCTGCAGGATTCCTACATGGAGAAAATACAGAGTACTATGCAGACCCAGACCAACTTCTACAGCACCTATTTAGATGCCCTTCTGCTAAATGAATCACAGAGTCAAACAAGCCCAGGAGGGAGTCTTGATAGTGAAAACAGTGCCTCTTGCTGCCAACAGACCCAGACCTTGACACTACCAGCCCCTCAGACTGACCACCAGCAGACACAAACTGCACTCCCAGACCTCAGTCTCAGTACCAGCGACTTTCTCTCATTGGACATGTACACCCAGACAGCACAGCAGGGCCTGAGAAATCGTAACTCCTCTCTTCAAACTCAGACGGACTCTTTCTTGGAGTACAGCCTATCTAGCATGGAAACCCAGACAATGGCTGACTTTGACCTGGGTGCCTTTGATTATCAGTCCGCATCGGTGCAGACGGATTCACATTACCAGGATAACTATGTCCGTCAGTTGGCTACTACGACACAGGTCCAAACTCAGACTACCTGCAGCAATAGCTGGAGGTTAGAGGGAGCAGACACAGCAGCTAGGCATGTCCAGACAGACATGACTCATGCAGAAAAGTTGTATACTCTTCAGCTATCTTCAGCTGGTACACTGACTGACAGCCACACTCAGACTGGGTAACAATGAACATTTGTCAACTGCGGCAATATTGGGCTTGAAAATTTGAATGTGAAATATCACCGAGGTCTTTCAAATACATGTACTTCAGTACCTGTCTCCTTCATGGCCTACATGTGAGTTGTTTGTGGATTTTTACCAAACACTGACATGAGTTCATGTAATTTGTCAAATTCAAGTCCTCTTTTAAAATGAGCTCTCAAGCGATGAAAGATTTTTTAAAAATTGAATATATATATATATATTTATGTAATCAACAGTTGTTAGCAGCTGTGTTGGGGAAACTAGATCTGTTAACTTTCTTCAGCTTGGGGCATGAGACACCTGCTTGTAAGTTTTGTTAGATCATTTTTAATCAGTCATACAAGTAGTATGTTTTGCTTCTGGTGAAGTTCTGCTCTTGATAACTGCAGCCAACCAGCTGATCAGCTGGTTGGCGTTAACAAATGGCCATGAGAAGTGAAGCTGGTGGTAGAATAGTAAGACATGCTGGTACATTGTATTGGTACCAAAATGAAAAAATGGATACATATTTCGAGCTTGGCATTCCATGATACCATTGAAAATGTGAAGAGAGCGGCATGTGAATCTCATTGACAAATGGCTGACTGAACGGATGCGTTGAGAGAGTGTGTGATGGACTTACGTGCAATGCAGGGTACAGTATACATTTTGGTGCAAACATTCAGGTTGACAAATTTGACGCGATCTGTCTTACTGATGAAATTACATAAGTAAGTAGCTGAACAGTATCCAAGATATGATATATGTGTACATGTACGTGTAGCAAATACAATGCAGTAGACCAATACAGCATGGTTTGAGGGGAAGTATTCCAGTTGGGAGGTAGTCAAACTGACCTACACCTCGGCACCAGTAATTCTTACTATTTTCCCGAAATAAACCATGCTGTATTTGTTTTACTACACTTCATAAATATTCAAACAGAAATCTCATGTTACTTGGACTCACAGGCGCCATTGTTGTTTCTCAGCTACTAAATTTCCATGTCATGATAGTGCAGATGTGCATAGAAACAGCGCTTCAGTAGTCTGGTGCTGACATACCTTTTGGGTCTTTACTGTATTAGTTATTAGGATACAACTCCAGACTGGTTCCGTAAGATTACATGACAAAGACTACATATTTACGCGGCGGGTTCCAGAGGGATTTTATGATACTACCAGAAAACGGCAGTGAGGTGGATGCTCATCACTATGACATCATCCGATTGCGTATCATTTGTACTTTCCAGAGATGTGGTGGAATCAGCCAATGACACACTCCGGTTTGCTCATGAATATTTATACGGTGTAGTAATTTGAAAATACACACCTGCTGTGTATACATGTAGAGTGCCTACTAACATTAGGTGCTTATAGAGGGTTGCGCTTGTGGCATTAATTTGTTCTTGCTGTATATTTGAAGATGTAGAAAAGAAGTTATCACGGAAAGTTATTTCATGTTATTTCAGAAAATAGATGTAATTATGCACCCACAGGTCATTTTTCAAATTAATGTTAAGCAGCATTGCTTCCAAAGAGATGAAATATGGAAAACAAGTAAACGGTACATACATGTATGGAGTTTCATATTTCAGGAATATTTAAAAAGACTTGTAAGCTATGCCTGTATGCTGCTTCATTGCAATACCGTGTTGTGTAAAAAGGTTACTGTTAAAAAAATCTTATATTCTGTTATCGTCATATGTCCCAAGGTTATACATGTTTGTCACAGGTTCATCTTGACATTTTTCTCGCACATGTTTGTGGAACACAAAGTTTTCTGAAGTCATGTAATTCTGCCTTCCATATGCTTGAGTAGGATAAAAAAACAATTTTTAAGCAAACTTGATCCGCTGACTGTGGAAGCAGGTCCAGTGCTCCCCTGCCAATTTCGACTGGGGGGGCATGGTCTCCCCCCCTCACATTTTCAGGGTGCATAGGGTAGGGCAGAATGGATCCGTCTGTTAATGGCTGATGCCTGATGGCTTGACAACTGGTCCCCCCCCACTTTGAAAATTGGTCCGCCGCCATTGACTTGATCCAGTAATTACATGCGACAGCATGTTCTATGCTTCTGTGTTGGCACAAGGAGATGTACTGATAGTCGCAAAACATGCATAAAATTAAAAAGAGGGATGTTTTCTCTTTAATACATGTTTAGGCTGTGCAGTATCGCATATGTCACACTAGATGTGGTATTGGATTGACCTATCGTATACTTAATCATCACACAAGTGCAAGTGGAACATGGAATAATAAAGTGTGCCCCTTCAGCCTCTTGGTATACGGGACACAGATGGATTACATTATTCCCTGTTCCATGAGCATGATAACGAATTTATCTTCAAGCAAACTTGATGCGCTGTAAAGATGTTACGGAGGCCTATGCATGCAAGCGTGCCACCTTTGAATTGACAGAAAATTTTGCTGTTGTGTCTTTTGCTTTTAATGTAAAAATAGCACATTGCGTGGGGTTAGAACCCACGCATTATGTGGAGTTTGACATAGACAGTTATATATCACACTGTTTGTTGCCATGGATCGACCAGTCAGAATTGAGAATTTGAGTTTGAAGATGAGAATTCTAGTTTGATTAGAGTTACATGTACACTGTGTGCTCATACTGTACAATGGATTGTACAGTATTGAAGTACCAGTCGGATACAAATAATTTTACATTTCTAAGTAACGAGTATTCAGTTAAAGTTATCAGCATAATACCTGAAATATTGTCTTTTTCTCTGTCTCTCAAGGATTTTCTCTGTGTACAAAAGTTGAAAGCCACCATGGACGTGTTCTTAGTCAGTTGGCATGCTTGATACATGGATTATAATTTGTGCGGTACTTGAGGATATTAATAGATTTTTTACACCGCTTGTTAGTGGAGAATTTTCTAATGTTCATGCTGTCTTTCAGAATTTGTGTTGCTTAATTTGAAGAGGCTTTTAAGATTTTACTACATTTTTTTAAAAAAGAGGTACCGAGGAATGTAATAAATGTGTAAACACATTTTAACCCTATTGGCTGGAGAGGAATGCAACAAGTGTGTACCACCTGCCTGCGAATAAGATGGCCCCGCAGTGAATGGCTTTGTAGCCGGATTTATCTATAACTATGCTAATCAGTTATATACAAGTAAGAGGGGAGCCCTCTTGATCCCCCTTCCCATTTGTCACTGATCGGCGCTTGCTTTTCGACAAGCTCTGTACTTTTTGTGGCATTTATAGTTGCAGCAACCAGGTTCACTGCACTTGTTATTCAACACCAGCTGCTATGAAGGGCTGATATACTGTGGTCTGCCATATATTCATCTTCATGAACCTTTTAAATACTCCAGATATACCTGCTAACTGCATTGCTAGGACTGGTAAAGCTAAAGGATGTTCTTTCCCTGAATCCCGTTCTTAGGGGCGCAGTCCACTAATTCAAGTGAGAATTTCTGGCCAGCTCATTAGCATTAAAAGTGCCACCCACAGTATCTTTTGAACAAGGAGATTGTATGGCCCCCAAAATGGTGAGATTGTGTAAATCTTTGCCAGAATCATCTCCCTGGGTCTACGGGCTTTCATCTGAGAGCAGAAAAGCTAAAAAATACTGTTGAAAAATGGTCCTAAGTGCCCGAGAAAGCTGAGGGTTGTCACTTGAAAAATGGCTGCAAGCAGACTTTGGAAAATCCACTTTTTGGGGGGGTAGTTTTGTTCTGAGGGAATAACTCAAAATGTAATCGGTTAACCCACAGAAAATTGAAAAGAAAGTGAAAGATTATGGATCATACAATAATTTAACATGTGTTTCAGATGCCTCAGGGATGTTGGTAGGCATATTACTAGGCCCCAAACAATGCTGATTTTACACTGTTTTCAATGGGGCCTGAATTAGTGGACTACCCACACTTGGGATCAAAGGTCATCTTGCGGTCACTTTTGGTCATGTTATTGATGACAAAATGATTCCACACAGTCTCGAGTTGAATCGGTTCATGGCTTTGATGTGATTTCTGACTTCCAGAGGAATTTTTTCCAGATTTTTAAGGTTTTGGACCCAAAATTTGTGTGCTTTGAAAACTTAGGAACAACCATAGAATATTCTTGTCTCATGGAGCACATTTGACTTTATTTTTCATTTTGCTATGGAGGGGGTGGGCTACGTGCCAATATGGTACACATGTTTATCTTTTGTAGTTAGCAAACAGGGTTTTTTGTTTTTGATAGGATTTTTTATTTGATGTTTCAAAATATTAAATAACAGCAAAAAAAAAAACTTTTGGTACAAATCTTAGAACCACATCCTCAAGGATTAATTGCCAAAAAATCACCATTTAGATTGTACCACGTCAAACATACCCCTAGAACCTCTTGGGAAGATGCACAAAGCTACTAGTTTGATTGCTTTTGTTTTTTTTCAAGAAGTTGACAGTTGAGAGAATCCTCACAAAAAGTGGAACATCAGGTCTCAATAGTGAGATTGTCCTTACTGGGAATTGAAATTCCAGGTTCTACTGCCCATCCAGCTGAATGAGTCAGTACGTGTACCAGTTGGCATCCGTCAGATCTTATTTTCACTCATTAAGTTCAATAGAAACAGCCAACAAAACGATTGGTACATGTACTGTAATGATTCAGTGGTAAGGAACCACTCTGCTTTGATTTTATTTATACGCTTTGACATCGTATTACAGCGCGTATGGGTCAATAGTGTGGGCGCAAAAAGGATTATCTTCACCCACACATCCATATTGCATCATAACTTTTGTAATAAGTAATACTGAGAGCAGGATTATCACATAATAGTTGGGAACATGTAGGGGAATCCCACCACGTGCTTTCGCGCGAATTCATGTATTTCCATAAAATTACGTCACTCGAAGGTACGGCCATGGCCCAGCCACACGGGTCATGTAACCACAGTTATGACGTCACACCAAAGGAACTTACGCACATGATCCGCGCGCCGGCGCATGAGTCTCCATCGAGTTTTCCAGCGATTTCATTGCCGACAAGATGGCGTTCAATTTCAATATGCGAGGTCGCGGATCATCGAATGATACAAGGCTGTACGAAGTTTTAGGAGTGTCTAAAAATGCGACCGATACTGACATAAAAAAGGTATGAATACGAAGTTTCTGTTAGGTAAAGTTACTGGAAAAATAATGCGAGATTTTCTGTCACGAAGATGGCAAAACCCTACTGGCTTTGTGCTCGTGGTGGGGTCTGCCTGGCCGGCCCGTCATGCTTGTGGCGTAGCACCACATGTGTGGGTTTATAACGTTAGGCATGTTGGGCCCAACGTTCCCCCCAACCTCCGTGCTTCAAGTTCAAGCCCTTTATACTGTGTGGGCCTAACGTATCCTTGATCCTCCCAAATCTGCGCACCTTACGCTTTGGAACGAGTTCCAGAAATCCACCAGTACCATGACTACAACTTAAGTTATAGTACAATGCAGTTGAATTTTTTTGGAACTGGGCAATTCCTACCCCCCAGAATTGTGGGGTCCAACGTCCGCGTCACTCCCGTGGGGGTTCTGGGGGTAGGCAATTTCACTGTGACTGACGTTAGGCTTTTTTACTGATTTTGAATATCCAACCAGCTCTGATGTCTCAATAGTGACAGCCAGCTGAACAATGTTTGGCATGGGGGATATACATGGACCTGAATACACAATACAGTTTTGAAACTTTAAAATATCATGTTCAGCTTTTCTGACTAGGTGGCTTGTTGACCTCTGTGACTAACATTACAAAAAACGATACAACCAAAAAAATGTTAAAAATGTTTTTAGAAATTCTGTTTTCGAGTTAAGCATTGTACATGTTGTACAGATCTAATTCTTTATTATTACAGCTTATCTGATATTAGCCCCACTAGTGTGGCACGGACTCTCACTCCCAATCCATCCTTAGCCACACATCCGTATGCGCAATTTCGTGTCGGCATACTGAACATTTTCGGCGCACCCACTTATCGTGGGCGCAATTTCTTTTGCACATGAACATGATCCTTGACCTTTCCGTTTTCTAAAAACCATTTATTGAATGATTTCACTCACATTATTCAAGTATTTTCCAGTCTTTTTGCCTTTATCCATTCAATCTAACGGGCTTGCTCTCTCAGTCGCCAGCTTTAAAATAAGATCGTTGAACAATACATCGCTTGACCTCTCATCTTCTCGACGGCTCTTCCATGTCAAGACATATGTAATAAATGGACTTGGCAATAAGATACTACATGTACCAATGGGCTCTTCCCAAACTTTGGCAGCAGTTTAGAGTTGCTCAAGACCACTAGCCGTAATTGGCGATATACAAGTATGTTCCAAAAGGAGATCTACTGAAGAACACAGCTGTCTGAAATGAAACTTTTTGAGGGAAGAATAAAATTGAGTTTGCTTAAGTTTCACAACCCGAATGATTTAAGTTGTGCAAACTCTTATCCTTTATTCATTCTAAAAATTAATTATGATCATTTGGAAAAAGTGGACTTTTATGAAAGTTTCCTTGTTCCAAAGTCATCAACCCTACTCCCTGAAAAATGAACTCAAGACTAATTCTGTTTGTCATGTAATCAGTGTTTCTCTTACATATGAGTTAACTTGTTTCTCGCTAATAGGCCTACCGTAAATTAGCCAAGGAGTTTCATCCAGACAAGAATCCAAATGCAGGAGAAAAGGTGAGGATGATTTCCCAGTGATCAGGACAATAGCATTAAGACAATTGATGGGAACACTGAGTTCCTGCATGCACCTATTGGGGTTGTCTGGCCAAAAGCAGGCATACATAAACAGAATGTCCATACTGTACTTGAATATCAAAGTAAGTTGAATTTGTCCAAACATGAATACAGGCTTTAAGCCTGTCGATTTACTGACAATCAATTCAGTTTAGAGTGGGCATTGAGGGCATTTCTTTGAAAGAGGAACATGTATACATGCATGCATTCCAGTACATGTATGTCCCATCTTGGTGCATGCCTCTATTATGATCATGTGACAGCGTGAGTGCAGTACTTGTGAATGAATCCGGGCACATGACCACAAGGCCCACAGAAATGGAGGAGACACCGCTTTTAGCTGCCTAGTAAAGCCACCAAGGGCCAGTCACAGTATCCAGTAACTTGTACTTTGCTTTCACCAACACAAGGGGCTTCCCAAGAGTACAGTGGACACATGGCTGCAAGTGCCTATGAAAGATTGATGAAGACCATGTTTAAGATTAGGCAGCTTTGTTTCAGGCGGCAGTTTAGTCATCAGTGGCTGTATTGGCATTATTTTGCAGTTTAAAGAGATAAGCTTTGCCCATGAGGTGCTAAGTAACCCGGACAAGCGGGACCTGTATGACCGATACGGTATGGACGGCTTGAAAGAAGGTGGTGGAGAAGGTGGAGGTAAGTAGACAATGCACTAACACCTAAGCCTGCATCTGAGCCTTCAGCGAGTTCATCACAGGTCAGGTCAAAAAATGGAAGACTTTGAAGGATAACCACTGACAAAGGGGTGTCTGATCCATTTGAATGGTGACTTGTGATTACGTGTGAATAACTTGAAATTGATTTGTGATGGCTTGATTACAGAGCATTGCCATGTACACTAGAGCAATACATACATGTGACTCGACACAAATGCAACTTGAGTCACAACTTTTGGCGACTCGAGTCCTTACGAATAATGACTCGAGTCACTGTGAGCAAATGACCTGACTGGAGTCCCATATCAGAAGACTCCAGTCCCAAAAAGCAAAAGCAAACTTCTTTGTGAAAAAATCTTTGTAGTGACTTGTGGTGCTGGGTTAGAATGTTCACGATCTGTCACAACAGTGTCCTACATGCAAATACATGTACATGTACTATGGCTGTCTAATGTCCTTCTTCCGTGGTACTATAAACATACCTTTCACAGACTCCCACCTTGTGGTTTTGTAGCATGTAATGCCATGCCACGAAACTGGAATTAAAATGCATTTCTCAATTCATGGTGTCATCCTTGTTGGAGGGATTTCTAATGGAATGCCGGCTATTCCCTGATTTCACTCACAAAAAATTTGTTCAAGCATTTTGGAGTCAAAGTGACTCGAGCTAATTCCTTGACTCGACCACACACTGCGACTCAACTCAACCTATCACAACTCATCATTTGCAGAGTCTTGTAGTCACACAAAAACACATCCACGCGAGAGGGCGCAGTAGAACTTTGCCATTAATCCTCCCTAGTTAAGTGCCATGATGCTAACGGATTGCCTTGCAATGGAGCAAAAATTTTCAACCAAATTTTCAGATTTTTATCATACCATCGAAGGTTTAATTGAAGGTCAAGACCGGACAACAGCCTCTATCGCTGCTCTTAGTACACAAATTGCTGCATTGGAACTATGAAATGAATCTCAGGAGAGATCTGTGTCAGATGTACTCAGCTGTAGCCATAGCATTTTGTGTCTCGTGTGGAGTCTTACATACGTGTACTGTAGGTTTTATTAATGTCATTTTGTTATGTATGCCAAGAAACATTCAACCAGTTCACTGATCTGCCCTCAAAACCCCTGAAAGAAAGTTATGGTGGGGTGTAATGCATAGACCTGCAATACCATGTCAAGTATTTGAAACCAGTGTTGTTTTCAAGTCTATTGCAAATCCCTCTAAGTCCATCACAAGTCATTCAGTCTTAAGCCAATTCACAAGCCATTCAAACGAGTTGTGACAAAAGCATTCTTTGGTCATTGTTCACCCTGTTACTTATGACTGG